ATCCCTTGAACTGGAGATTACTGAATATGCGTAATCATAAGCTCGGTGCACAATCATTGTTTATGCTCAAAGTATGGTACAATCAGCTTGCAGTCCACAATGTACAGAGCAGGAATTTCCCTCCCCGCACCCCAGTTTGAATGTTTTAATACACCAAGCATCACACAGAGGCAGGATAGAAATAACAGTGCAATGCTAAGTTAATGGGGACTGATAAGGCATGAGAATCATAGAGAGAATGGCAATTCTTTTCTTTCTCTTTTCCAGTCCTGAAGGTTCATAACTTCTGCCATTTGTCACAGAACGACATAGCACTGGAGTGGATACACGAATCAAATATAGCAAGCCTGCAGAAGCTGTTCGTGATACAAAAGCACAGTTGGAGAACATTGTGGTAAGAACACATCAAAGGAACCACATAGCAGAATCAGCAGAGCTGAATCTTGGCTAGTGTTTGGCGTGATCCTCCATTTAAACTCTCTGGGACCTCAGGGTTAGTCCTTAACGTTTCTATAGTTAGGGTAGCATTTCCAAAAGAGAGCCTTTCTGGCTAAAGGGGCAGGATGGAAATCCAAGAAATAGTAAACAAAAGTAGAGCAGGCACAGTTTCCTCATGCATATGCCCTCCTCTTGAATGCTAGATGCCTCTTGAAGAGCTTCTAAAACATCATGAGGGTTTTCTTTGCAACTGCAGGACAGCCTCCCAGTCCTGTGCCCAAAGACCCATGAGATTCCCTAGTATTCTGCGGATGTATAAGAGTCCCAGAAAATGCTGAAATTATGAGCTTCTTTTATCCCTAGGTTTCTTTGTCAATATTTAATGTTTTAACCTTTAGGACACTTCAACTCAGCCAAAAAGACAGTAGCTTCTGAATTATGAGCTGATTCTTTCAGGGCAGTCCTAAGGTTTCTGAGAAAGTCTACAGCTTGAGGCAACCTTCTGCTAATAGTGGAACCCTTTTCCACCATCATGTTTTTGAGGGCTGTCGGACCAGTTACACTTAATGGGTCTTCAGCACCAGTTATGGGCTGTTTTTGCATATCATCCTCTTCCTCCGTATCATGACCACTAACTCAGTAGGGAGAAAGCCAGTGAGTAATCAGACATTGCTGTTGTTTTTGGCTTGAGGCAGAGTGAGGCACAGGTGAGGAAGAAGATTGAAATAGTGAAGAGGAGAAGGAAGTCCAAGGAGCTCTTGTAAGTGAGCCCCTGCTGGGATGAAGGTACATGGCAGGTGCCCAAACATGCCTGGCCTTGTGAGGGCACTGGCTTTGACAGAGGTTGGGAGCAAAAAGGAATGTGCAGGCGGCAGATTAAGGAAGGTTATGAATTTGCAGAATTCAAAGCTAGTATGATCTCAAATGGAAAAGTATCTATACCAGCTCTGGTGCTGGTGCCGCAAAAAAGAAAAAAGAAAAGACTCCATTCTTCTACCCTGAGCGACAAAACCCTGCAGGGAAGTCTTCCTCCCTAACTTCTGAAGGATTGCTCCGCCCATGCTATAAATTCAGTCAAACATCTCCTGTGAGTGAAAGGCACCCATTCCCAGAATGCCAGCTGTGTCTTTGCCAAATTTTCTGCTATAGCTTCGCTTCCTTCTAGTCAGCCACAACTATGGGCAGCTAACTCGAGGTATGATCTGATGAGAGATTTTTTGTCACATTGTGCATGACTTGCATTCTTTATGTGCCCTGTATATATATACGTGCATTCTATATGTGGAGGCAATCCCATATAAACAATTCCTGCAGAAACGCAAGGGCTAGGTGCTTCTGAGAGTGGGTCATTCTTAAATGCCATGGAGTCTGATAATAATAATTTTTGACAGTTTTCAGCATGCCTCTAATTTCAGTTCTGAACAATTGTTGCTTCAGGTCATTAGAAGTTTGGGAAACACCAATATAACTAGTGGGTGGAGGAGGGAATTCTTTAGTGGAAAAGAAAGATGTACCAAGGAAGTAACTGAAGCCCATTTCTTGCACAATGAGGTGAATGATGGCCATAGCCTTGATATAACACTAGTTCAGTTCAGAGACAAAAGGTGCAAAGTTAGGATATTTATTCAAAGATGTTTGCAATCTTCTACCTCTATGTTTGGAGTGCAGAAGCTGTGTTTGCTGTTCCAGTGCTCTTGTGCTGAGGGCCAAAGCATCAATAATACAAGGCAGGATAGCCCAAGCTATTTGAGGCAAAGAATAGGAGGTGTTTCCCCATAGTCTTTGTCTAGGAGCAACCTGGCCATTGAATCTCACTTCAGCGCTGGCAAAGGACACCTAAAGGGCAGCATTATAGCTCTCAGGGAGCCACATGAGCCCTGCCCTCCAGCGTCTTAACACTGGTCCCTGACTGCCAGCATCTGCCCTGAGACAGCTGCCCCTCTCTGCCTAATAGTAGGGTCAGCCCTGATGACTCTCTGGAGATGTTCCCAAGGGGCTCCATTGATCATGCAATTTCACCCTTATTTTGCCAACCAAGAACATAATTATGCAGGAGTGTAATTGCAGCAGACGTTTGTCAAGTCAGGATTTCATCTAAATTTGAACTGTTATGAGGGCCTGGTCATTAGAAAGGTGGAGAGCAAAGCTAACACATTAAGCATGAACTGGTGAGACATAAAATAGTACAGTTTTCTTCATTAATAGCCTTTGCTAAATTGGAGTACTGAGTACTGAATAGGAAAGCCAGTTAGTATGTCTTCCCCCGCACCCCAATGTGGCTGTGATACAAAGCCACTAAATTGCAGCCAAAGAGAAATTTATTAGCAATGAAGAAAGTACCCTTTTGTGCCCTGCCACACCTGTGAAATTAATCTCGTACTGCAAAAAGAAGGTAACAACTAATTGCCTAGAAATAGCACTTCTGTCTCTTATACATGCATACATTTCTGCAAACACTGCCAAAAATATGGTTATGGAACATTAGGGGAGGTTGTCAACCCATTAATTATACATGAAATTGCTAAAATGAACTGTAGTACTGATAGGACCCTTTCTTGGCACCTTCTGACACGGAGCCACAATCTAACCAATGGGCTTAAGAAGCACAGACCTGATGGAATCTTCCTGTCCATGCATATACCTATGTGGCACATTGGGAACGGCTATCTAGACAAGTGTCCAGTGCAGGAAGCTCTGTTTCATGCCCAACCTTTTCTAGAAGTGGATCTCGGGATTTTGTTCACTTGATACTCAATTAAAAAATAATGCTCCCTTTCTTTTGTGCTCAAAGGATTACGCTAGATATGACATCTGTGCCTTGTCTCTTCCTTAAAGTAGTCCAATACTTAGCACTACCAACAGGGCACATGAGAGCTGCATCTTTCTTTGTCAATTTTTATTATAACAGAATAGAACTTTTCAGATGTTTCTGGCAATGCCAGAAACTGTTTTGTAGGATCAAAACTGCTTTATCATCCAGGATCCTGGATTTAAGACACAGCAGGATGAATGTAAAATTGCATGCAGTCTTTGACTCTTAAAACCAAGGCAATACAAAGCTGCCTTGCTTGCTACCAGTTCACTGGGGGGAGTTGACCTGCAACTTCCAAATATATTGTGTGCTGCTACAATTGAGGGTAGGAGTCCCATGTTCTTACAATATATTTTCAGAAAACACTGATGTAATTTTACTGCTATACTTTGCTGCCAGTAACATGGGTGTCTCACACTGGTATTGCCTTCTGAGGCCCTGCATGGACTACATCAAGCCCATTTGGCTTAAGAGATAAAATTGACATGTGCCTTTGTGCCTATAGGTCATTTGTTTCCCCCAATGTTCTGCTATTAGAAGCCAAGACTTACACTGGAATCGTATGATGTCAGCCTTCCCCACTCTGGTATCTTGCAGGTTTGGCAGATTACCATTCTTGTCAGCCCAGCTTCTCTGACCAAGGTCAGGTATGAGAAGATTTGTTAACTGTTGGGCTGCTCAGGTTGGGAGAGGCTGCTCTTTACCATTAATGCATTTTTAGATTCAAAGCAGCATATGGCTGGTTACATTTAACGTACATTTCACCAGTACCACTGAAGCCCAGCGCATTGAGGCTGTTGCATAGGTTAACACATATGTTTCCTTTTAAAACTTAGAAAGCTTCTTTGTGTTCTGCTTCATTGCAGAAAGGAATTCTATATGATTCAATTTAAATTAAAGGACAGGAGAACTTATGCTTTAAAAAGTCGTTCAAAGTAACAGGTGAAATACTATAAATGGAAAGCAAAATAGCATCAGTCAGTAATTGCAAAGTTCAAAAGTTGGGCAGATTATGTGCTTGTTTCAATAAACAACAATTTAATGCTTGCTTCGCTCTCTCTCTCTGTGGATGGAAAGATTAGGACTGGCCAGTGAAATGTTGCATTCTTTAACATATTTCAGGGTTTCAGTAAAATTCAGCTGAATGTAAGTAATGGCAGACACTAAAATGGTACTTCACTGGATAATTCAAATACTCCATTCTGAAAGAAATATTGTTGCTGGGGTTTATTAAAACAGAAGCAAATTATACCTCGCTCACCTGATTACCTTAAACCCCTAAGCCTGGAAACAAAGTGAGATACATAATGCCACAACCACTCAAATATTAGTTCTTCTCATGAGTAGGCATCACTATATAGTCACTGAAGCTCTGGTATGTTAAGGGATATTGCAAGAATATCAGCCATTGCTTGGTTTGCTTAAGGTATCGTTACTGATACTGCACCATGGACTTTATTGAGCCATTAAAAATATACACAAAGGGACAATCTTTTCTCTTTTGGGAGTATTTTTTTTTCCAAAATTTGACTTTCTTCCAATTGAAGAACCCAGTTTCAAATGAGAAAAGGGCACTTGTTCCTACAGTAACTGTGCTTCTTGCTCAGTTTGTTCCAAGTACTGTATTCTCTCATATATGTATCAAAAGATATACAAGAATATATCTTTTGATTTTATACCATTGTTGCCATTATGTCTCCAAGTTGCTTGGTGAACTAAAATGTTCTTATTTAGGGGATGATAAAGATAATTAATTTGTTCTTTCAGATTCTATTTCTCCATAAAGTTCGGCAAGCTTCTTAAACTCTGGTCCCCAGTCACCAAGGTAATTATAATCCTGATCAGAATGTGTGGTAGCTGAATCCAAAGAGCTGATAGAACCAGCTTCTGACCTTTGGCCTTCATATGCATATGTCTGTAGTGAATCATAAGGGGGCACACTGGGATCCAGGTCTGCTTCTGCCAGTCTTTGCTTAATGAATTCATGGACATCTATGCTGTCAAGGCTAGATGAAGTGGGATGCCTGGGTGTGGGCTTTGTTTCAGGCCGAACATCTCTTCGATACTTCAGTTCTTCGGCAGCTGATGGGTTCCGCAAAGCAGTGATGTCAAAAGCCTCAGTGTCTTCCTCACCTCCACCCTCGTCATCATAGGTGACAACATTTTCCCGGACGTCCTCCTCCGAAATGATCAAAGGCTCCTTTTTGCTGCGTCTTAGAGTGATGAAAAGAACCACTATTGCTGATGGGAAAAATAAGGATATGAAATTAGTAGGACTGCTGGTGGGTTAATTCATTTTTGGTCAGTTAATTACCTCCCTTTAAGTAAATGTATCCTTCCTCCCTTCCTTCCCAGATGAATAGATTAAAATTGTGCCTCACCAACAAATTATAGTTTATGGATATACTCATTAAGATGATTAAAGATTACATCCCTAGATATTAGGCATATGAGTGAAAGGAAAGACAGATTGATTGGTACATTGGTGTCTGTCTGTCCTACAGAAATACCTGCTTTTAATGAATTATGATACATGGATATAAACCCACACTCTAATCATTTTCCCATGTGCTAGGAAGATGTAATTTGCCACATAAATAATTTGTTGAGAGATCATAAAGGGGGAAATCCAAATGTCCAGGTGATTTTTTTTAATAATTGAAGGAAGAACATATATCATAAAATATCAACATGAATATCAATCAACAGCCAGTGGTCCCAGATTCCATTGATTTCACTGGAATGACATTTTAATCCAGATTGGGGCATGAGAGATCAACTTAATGAGAAAGGGGGGAAAAAACTTTTGCTTTTCGTTTTTAACTTCATATGGATTGCTTCCTATCAGAAAACTGCAACAGCAATGGAAAATTTTCTCCAGTGAAGGGAGGCAAGACTGCTAATACAATTGTTTTAAAAATATTTCCATATATTGAATAAAACCTTAAAAGATTTTACTTTGAAGATAATTGATCTATGGCTCATTGAGTTGGATCCAAACTTATGGTGTGTCCTGTGGGAATACCTATAACCCCCGGAGTCTGAAACTCATGGCCATCCAAGGCAGGGGGAGCATCAAAGGAGATTTCCTCCCTTCCATTCCTCCTGCTCTGCATTTTTTGCGACTCAGACATTTTCATTTCCCTAGTGATGGCACTTCAGAAGGAGAGAGAAGAATGCTGGCTGCTCCAGTCTCATTCCCTTCCCACCCCACCCCGCCCTTCTCCGTCCCACTCCTTTGCTCTTCTAGGTTCTCTCTGATCCTCAGAGAGCAGCTGGTACAGTCCTTTCCAAGCTAGCTGTGAGGGGCTATGGAGGAGACTGGATCTCCAGTGCTCAGCTCCGGAGTCAGTGTTGCACCCAGTGTCAGATTTGGGAATTCAAACTATCTGATTCCCCCGGTCCCCCTGAGGATGACTAGGGGCCTTCATGTTTGGAGTAGAGCAAATCATGACTAAGTTGTCTCACAGACTTCAGTGGGTCTCCTCCTAGTGTTCTTAAGTCCAGAATTGCATATAAATCCCATTGTGTGCAAAGTTTCTTCTTCAGAAAGGACTTTATTCTGAAGCCCTGTTTGGTCTCTGTGTGCACATTGTGTGACAGTATGAATGAGCTGAACCTCAGCCAAATGAGAATATTAGCTAATGGGTACTATTCAAATTAGTCTAGGCATATAATGTGCGCAGAAAGAAATAGTTTCCCAAGGACACTTATCTAATGGAACCATCTCTTGTCTCTTTTGTCCCTCTCCCCTCCCAATTACACTCTGTGCTGTTATCAGTCCCTCCCACAGAGATAATTAGCAAATGGCTTTCATACACTCCTGATAGTGCCTGTGGTAGAGGAATCTCTTTCAAACCACCTCTCCTCATCTCTTCTTTTTCTCACTTCCCCCAGTAGTTCTGGACATGCAACTTGAGTTGGTGGTTTCCTGAAACCTGACCAAATTACCTGGGTAGATCGACAATGCTAATTACTGAGTGGCCAGTGCAAAATTAATTCCACTGAATGCCAGTAGTTCAGCCATCTGCTATAAAGGCTTCTGAGCTCTACTAATTTTAGTTTGAGCCTTTTAAAGAGAAAATAGAAAGATCAAAGCTTTATATTTCTAATCACCTCCTATCACAAGTGATTCTTAGTTTGGAGTAGCATTGCATTTAAAAGGCACCATGGTGCTGCAATCAGCTGAGGGCTACGGGAAGGACACGGATCTTTAATGCTGAGAGAGGCTCACCCAAGAGAATGATGACACACAGCAGGATGGCAATTAAGGCTCCTGTGCTCAGTCCAGCAGAGGAGAGAAACGCTTCTGCATGGCAGGTCCGTACCCGTCCATCCCTTTCGCAGGCACATACTCGTATCACAAGGGTGCTGCTGCTGCTAAGAGAAGGGACCCCTCCATCCGAGATCAAAATTGGCAGGTAATACACATCCTGGGTGGTTCGACTAAATCGCCGCCGCCGCGTCAGAATATTGGCTGTGTTATCTACAGGAGCAAGAAGCGGGTTGGTAGTCTTAATAAAGATCATGCTGTTTTTATTTCTGTTTCTCTCTTCCATTTTGGTCATCCATGAAGATAGCTTGATAGCTCACATAGCAAACTGAGGTAATTCTGGGGTCTGTTTCAGTGTCAGTGTTCCACCAGCTCAGACAGATTCATAAAACCCCGCTCCACTAGGCTCTCTTCCCTGTAACTATTCCTAGCTATGTCCTAAGGCATCAGGCTGGGAACATGGGATGCTCCAGCGTGGACATGTTGTAAGAATCACCATGCCAGCCAACAAATGCATTATGAATGCCCTTCGTTGCATCAATACTAAGGTATATTGTAAAACTCATGGTCCACAGGCAAAGTGGCCACAGGCTCCTCTGTGGAGACCACTGGAGACCAACTCCTCTTAAGTGTTTTGTGTGGGCCACCATGACTCCTGCTACCAGCATCTTACTGCTTAATATATTACACTGTTGATGTTGTTGAAGCAAAAGATTCTGTGTACCCCACTAGAGAGCCATTGATTTCTAGGTGATGCTGCAGGCCAGGCCAGGCCATCTCCTGGGAGACATTTTACAGCTCTTGTGGAAGGACCCTATGACTCTCTGATGGTTAGGGTTATTATTACTGTTGCTGCTAAGAGGAGGATGCAGAGGGTTTTTTGTTCGTTTGTTTGTTAAGTGTGTGCAAACCAAATTGATGCTGGAGATAAAAGGGAATTTAACATCAATTTGCATCAATTTAATGACATAACCATGGAAAATAAAAGGGATGGTGGAAGGAATGTTTGGACAGCAATTGGAAATTATGGCCAAAGTGTCCAATCCTCTGATAACAGGGCTAGTAGCTATTGATAGCCTCTTCCTTTCCGAATCTGTCCAATCCACCTTCCAAATTGGTGTCCATCATACTTCTTGTGGTGGTGAATTCCCTAGTTTAACTCCATGTTGTGTGAAGAAGTACTTCCTTTTATTTGTCCCAAATCTCCCACCAATCAGCTTCGTGGGATGACTAGTTCTAGTACTATGGAAGAGAAAGAAAAATGTTTCGCTTTGCCCTTTCTCCATACCATGCACAATCCTGAACATCTCAATCATGTCTCCCTTTAACCACCCTTTTTTCTAAGCTGAACAATGCCATTCCTACCATTGGTATTCCTCTCATCCCAGTAGCCATTCCTTTCCCCTCTGTCCCTGCCACTTCATCTGGATGGGGGCGGGGATGACGCACCCAAGGCTCCACAGCAGCTGGGGCTGCCTCAACAGGCTTGCGTGCAACTGTGGAGGAGGGACATCGCACTGCTCTCTGACTTGCTGAGTGCGTTTGTCTCTAATCGTAGCTTCTCAAACATTATAAATTGACCACTGTTTCGATGGTTGCTTTAGAAATGCCAAATTGTGCATAATAAAAGATGTACCACCCAATACAATTGCTTAAGGAGGTCTTTATGCAAGAACTAGAGACATGAGAAACAAAACGATGAAGAAACATTCATCATTTATGTTAAATGATCAGTAAGCTTCACTGGTTTTTTTCTTAACCTGTGACCCAATGTGCAGCAGCTGAGATAAAAAAGTAAATTCGAGAATGGGGATCATTAGTAAAGGGACCACAAATAAATCTGCCAATATACAAATACAATGTGCAAATCAGCCACATTGGGAATACCATGTATCATTCTGGATGCCACACCTCCAGCTTGATAGAACAAAGCATGCTGGATCATATCAAAACTATATCGATACAGTTCCTACCAGAATGTCTATGGGGAGCCTAGAAGCAGGATATGAATACAGTGTTACTTTCCCACTTGTATTCTCCAGTAACTGCTACTGAAAGTCATCTCTCCCTTGCTACTGCTGGCCATATATAGCCATCATGATTAGTAGCCACTGATAGTTTTATCATCCATGAATTTCTGCAGGTCCCTTTATAGATGCACATGGTTATGACCATCACAACTATGCTTTCTCAGAAGTACTTCCTTGCATCTGTCTGAATTCTCTCATGTTTCAGCTTCACTGGCTGACCCTTAGTTCTACCTCTATCACCTTTCTCCACCCTATGCCTAATTTTATATGCCACTATCATTTCCCCCACTCCTGTTTCACCATTTTTTTAAAGCAGAAAAACCACCAAACACACCTTGGTGCTTCAGCATTTTGCTCATTTTATTGTCTTTTCCTGCCTGTTTTTCCAGCTCTGTGATATCCTGTTTTTCAGATGCAATGATTACAGCTGTGCACATACTGCAAAGCTGTTAAAGGGGAAGCAAAGAGAACCTAAACAATCCCTCCCTTAGGAAAGGTGACAATTTAGGGGAATACTTAGATTAACAAAATGGTGAATAAATGGGGATATAACAGAGATGTATAAAGTAGATCTGGTATGAAGAGTGTATGTGGAGAACAGCCTTTCCCACTCTCATAAAGTTAGAATCCAGGGTCACCCAATGAAGCAGAATGGTGGGAAATTTAGGACGGAAAGAAGAAAGTACAAAGTGTACAGTTAAACTATGGAATTTGCTGCCACATGATGTAACAGCCATTCTTAAAGACAATGGCTTTAAAAGGGGATTGTACAAAAGCACAGCAGATAATGAACTCACTGACTAATAGTTATGATCGCTGTATAACCTGTTCCAGAAGTAATTTAGTACTAGTGGATGAGGGCATGCTATTGTCCACCAGACCAGAATACTTAATATGATTTTGAGATGGAAAATGAAATCAGGGAAGCTTCCCCATGAGGAAGTATAATAATAGGTGGCTTGAATTAGCCTCCTGTTGAAGGCATACATATATGTTCTAGTCATGACAACAAGGTTAGGGACATGATCCAGCAGCTCCATACTCTGATATATAACGCTCCAACGTCAAAGGCTTCCATGCATCCAATGTCCATAATGAGATGTGGAAGTCACAGGGGCAAGAGAAACTCCACAGTCACCATGCTTCACTCAATGCAATTTATCTAGATGGCCATTTTTGGGTGACTAGCTAAACCACTGGGGATGGAAAGGGAGGGCACCAAAGGAAAATTGCATAGTTAGGTGACCTGAGGCCCTTCCTCTCCCCATCTCCAGTATGCCCCTTACAACTCTCACCAAGATGTATTTCTGCTCTCGGAGAGGCAACTCTTCAGCATCTCCCCACATCAGCTGTGGAGCAGCGGAGCATGGGTTTGGCCTTCAAAGTCCCACCTCTGAAAAACGCTCTAGCCTCCAGGCAATGTCAGCAGGCCCTAAGACAGATCCCTAAAGTTCTCAGTTCCTGGGAGATGGTTGAAGCCCCATCACTGAGGGTGTTCAAGGATAGGCTGGACATGCACATGGTAGGCATGTCATGAGCAGAGTTGGCTGGAGCCGGGGGTCAGACTAGGTGGCCCAGGGGGCACCTTCTGACTTACTCTGTTTCTAAACCATTGTGTCTGGGACATTTGGCCATGAAACTAACCAGATGGGAGAGATCAATGGAGTTAATCCTAAGTCGTGCTTTCCAGGACCTAATGTGAGATGGTAGCATTGTCAAACCAACTGGAAACAGTGAGCACAGTGCTGTAGCTTTAAGTGGGAACTTGCCAAGGAAGTCCAACACAGCCACATTAAACATCAAAAGAGGAAATTTCTCTAAAATGAAGCAACTGTTGAAAGGAATTGAAAGGTGGAGTCAAAACAGTCGAGTCTCCTCAAAATGCTTGGAGATTACTCATATCCACAATAATAGCTAAGATATAATATATATCACAGATAAGGAAAGGTAGCACCAACTACAAGGTAAAAACACTTTATGAGTGGAGTCAAGAAAGTTATTAGAGAACAGAAAGTTCCTTCAGAAAATGGAAGTCCTGTACAAAGGAGAACAAAAATCGACACAAACACACTCAAAGAAAATGAGGGAAGAGGTGCAAATGAGTTTGAAGAGCATGTTGCTAACAACATTAAGACCAACCATAAATCCTTCTTTCAATATATCAGGAGAAAGAAAACAGCTAGGGAGCACAGTTAGACCACTGGTGGGATCTGAGTCAGCTGGTGGGATTTGACAAGAGATTTTGGAGTTGTGGTGGCCAGCTCAATGAAAATGTCAGCTTCCTAAAACTGAAAAGGAAGAGAAAAAAAGGGCAAATTCTGTACTAGGCCTAACTGAGAAGGGAACGAGAAAGGACAGCGTCAATATCAAATCTATGCTTTAACTGCACTTTGAATACCACGTACAGTTTGGGTCACCCATAAAAAAGGATATTGTAGATCTGCAAAAAGGCAGAGAAAGGCCAGTAAAATGATGAAGGGGCAGGAGAAGCTCCTGAATGAGGAAAGGTTACAGATGTGGGATGTTGAGCTTAGTAAAATGCAAGCTAGAGAAGACAACAATAGAGGTGCATTTTTTTGCCCCCTGTCTCATACTAGTAGAATCCAGGGTTATTCAATGAAACTGGTAGGAGATTCAGGATAGATAAAATGAAATGCTTCTTAACACAGAACATAATTAAACGACTCATAATTCACTGCCACAGGAAGCAGTGATGGCCACCAAACTGGATGGCTTTGAAAAGGGATTGCAGAAGTTCATGGAGAGGAAAGCTACCTATTGCTGGCTATTGCTACATTCGTCATCAGAGGCAGTATGCTTGCATATGCCAGCTACTGAGGGGCTTGGGTAGAGGGACCTCGTGCACTTAGAGTTAAACAACAAAATTTGCTACTGCAAGATGCAGTGATTGTTCCCAGTTTGGATGACTTTAAAGGGGGACTGGACAAATTAAAGGGGATAAGGTTATCAGTGCCTACTATGACTGTATACTACTTCACTGTTTGCTGGGAAACTTTCTTGGAAGGGGGCTGCTGCATGCAAGTCCTGTTTTGGGGTTTCCCTGAGGTATCTGGGTAAACACTGTGGAGCAGTGATATATAGCAGGGTTCTTCTTCTGTTATTGTTACATAACTGAAAGTCTATTTAATCCCAATATCACATTTTGAAGTGTTTTACCAACTGTGTGAGGGTTAATACATGTGTGTTGCAGTTTGCAACACATAACAGGGTTATATTAAAAGAAAACAGGAATGAGGCCCAGTCAAGTGCGCAAGCAAACCTTTCACACTATCAATTTGCCTGGACCGGTATGCCTGGCTTTCTCCTTAAATCTGGCCAGGAAAGTATAACCCCTTCTCTCTCCTTTTGACAAAGAAGGGCCATTCTGGTGTGTTTGGACATGGGAACCCTGACAAAAAGGCAGACTTTAAAAGAAAAGACACAGAGTTGTGCTTTGCAGATTTTTTAAAACATAAGAATGCTTAGATTCACAAACAGAGCATGAGTATCAGTCCAACAATGATGAAATAATTTAACCACAGAAGATTATCTGCAAAGCAGCAAAAAGTGGGGAGGGGATTGAAATGTGAGTGCAGATACAAAATAAAGGAGCAGATAAAAGCAAAAAAGGGAAAAAATAGTATTTTGAAGATTAAAACCCAAGCTGGGGAAAAATAGAAAAGTACAAAGCTGGAAAGAATGCAAAAACAAACCATAAAAACTGAGTTTGAGACAAGATGAAATAAAATCTCAAAGATGCAAGTTGGCAACTGTAACAGAATAATGGCTGCAGGGACCCTGAATGACCGAAGCTTAAAATAAGCTTTGGAAAAGCTTGCCAGATTTGGGGTGGTGCCGGTAGAAGACTTGTGCAAGATAAAATAAATATGTATAAGTCAAAGGCCCGAAATGTATAAGCCAAGGACCTGATATTTTGGTTATCTTAATCTTAGCAACTCTCCCAAAAAGGATCAATAAAATTCAAGGGCCATGGCTTCAAGTGTTTCCTGCTACCTGGATTCCTAGTGACAGCTTTGGAAAAGAAAGAAGAGTGTTCACATGCAACCAGAAGTTTGTCTTTCAACAGGTGACAACAAAAATAGCAGCAGCTTGCTGTCTTCTTCATCACAATCAGAAGTGGCAACTAGATTGTTGACATCTGTTGTTCAAAGCTAGACCTTGACTTGTGTCATGAAATAATCTCCCGTTCCCTGGCTCTAAAGCTGCAAAACAACAAACCATTTTTTCCTCGTGTCTGAAAATGAGAGCAGAGTTACTTATAGTTACAGGGAGTGAGGGTTGCCTGGGAAAGGCTTCTATATTGCATGATATCCCTGTGTGAGTCCATGTGTGTGTTGCAGTATAACTGTGTGTTCCCAAATGAAAAACTTTACTTACCCAATTCTATAGGTAGTTTGGCTGCTTATGCACCAAAAAATAGGGCAAAACAGGAGACTGATTCACACAACATTCGTGTATATGTGTATGCACAGACACACATTTAGAAATATGTACATCTCACAGTGGTGCAGAAGACTGTGACTAAGCTCCTGCTATCCAAGGGCTGACTCTTAATGAGCAAGCGGTCTTATGATTCATAATCTTTGTAATGGAATTAGACAGGACAGCTCTTCAAATAGAGGATGGCCCTTCAAATAGAGGACTGCCATCTATAAAAGAGGACACTTGGACACCCTTCCCATAGGACCACATGCCAAAGCATTTTCCTGTAATATGGCAGAAAACAAAGAAATGCAATTCGCTACAGGTTAAATCTGTTCCCTTCCCTTCCCCTTGATAGCCCCTAAGAATCAAGTCTGCTTTTATCTGGGTTGTTGAATCATCCCATCCTGAGTTGCTTTGATTAGTCCCATCTGAGGGCAGCAGAATTCTGGCAAACTAAAATGCAATGCTGGAAACTAATATATTAATCATTGTTAAAATATTGTAGGACGTTTTGCGGCCAGTTGGATATGCCATCTTGCAGGATGCATGTCCCCCTCCTTTTTCCCCAGTGGTGGCTCTAAGGTTAGTGAAGATTGTTCATTTAGAGTTTTTGTCTGTACTTTAAAGGAACCAACCACAGTGCTGAACACAGGCAGTCTTGTTCAGTACCATGGAGAGCTCCTTTAAAGAACAGAGTAGAACCCAGAGTGGATAACCAGTCCAATGTCACTGGAATCACCAGTCTCAACTACACATCCTCCCAAAATAACTTGGGGTTTGATGGCCATTTGACAGGTATTTTTTGAGGTTTGTTTTTGTACAAACTGAATGGTGGAAGTTTGGGGGAAAGATACACATACATGCATGCAGACACATATATCTATAAAATGAGACTTATGGATTGGTACATGCTTCAGCACATCACTGATCAAGAAAATAATACAATTCATTTCTCATTCATTCACCCATCAAAGTTTTTTCAGGATTTCCCAGTATTTAATTACAATCAGTCTGGCTGTAGCAGTCTTTTTCAGTGAAATATGTGCCATTTAATAACCAACTCCTTTGCAATATCCAATAGGAATAGTTCTGGACAAAAAGGTATTTCATACTCTGATAGCACTGGTATTCTTCTTATATTATTTAGGTATGTTTTGATTGCCATGCATTGCCAAAATATCTGTATAAATGTAAAGTTGTGGGAGCAGCACCTCCATCACCTGTCACTATTGGTATTGCATACCTTCTATTAGTTGAACTAGGATCAACTGTCTTCTAAACAGAGTTTTAAAATTGTCTTCTTTATAACTTACAATGCAAGAAGTAAGGCATATTCAACTGAATAAATGTGAGAAGAAAAGAAAGCTACCAAAGAGACAGGTAATGATGGAAGATGAGGAATTTCCCTGGTTCTCTGTTCAAATAACATTGAATTCACATAATGTTATTTTTCTCAAGACTCCCAGATGGAATTGTGCATTGTAAAAAGGCCATCTCCATTTGTTTGGCATGCTGGCTACCACAGATGTGAAGGGGGTAAATCTATCCATTTTGGTTCTGCCCAGTTTTTCTAAGCTTATGTTTCAGCCTAACTGTGCATCAGAATATTAAATTTTGCAGTACATATTTGCCTGAAAATCTGTATTAGTTTGTGTGCACTTTTCCCCCCTTTCGTGCTCACTTTTCTTTTGCTATTTCTTCCCCCTGTCCATAGTAGTTTCATCATTTTTCTTCTCACTCTAACTGGCTCTGACTGACTTCAGCCTAAGGCTTCAGCAGAGAACATACTCTCAAACTAACAAAACAGGAACATGCATACAAAACTGTAGCAAAGTCAAAACCAGACACCTATAGCACCCTTCACAATGAATGCAGCATTCAGCTTTTGTGCTCAGGTATGATTCCTGTCCCCCATCCCCCCACCCCCAAAAAGCCACTGAAAACTAGATATGTGCAGATGCCTGGTCAAATGCATAGGGCTACAAAACACAAAACGATTATTGAAGACTGGCATCCAATGTTTCATGGGTAGACTTTTGCTCATGCAGTATAACTTCACCTTCATCCCCGCAGGTGTTGTGATACAAGCTACCATTTCTAATTCTTTGTGAAGAATGGCCTAGCTACAGATGCAGTTTGATCTTAAAAATGCAAAATTCTGATAATCAAGAATCAAGCAACTCCAAATGTAGCTCTCCGAAAACAACTATTTTGTCAATTGTTTTCAATTATTATAAAGTATTATACAATGTTGTCATTTTATAGAATCAGTTTTTATAAGGCTGTAATTTTTATATTGGGAGTTATTGCCACATTTTACCAAGTTAGGTTCTGTAAATGCAAGTCTGATGTGACAAGGTGTTTTTTTTTTCTCTTTTAATTTTGTCCATAGATCAACTTTAAAGCCTTAGAAAAAGACAAAAGAACACAAGGTCATAAGATCTGTTACGAAGTTGGTGTCTGTGCTATTCAAGCAAGGAGCTAAAAGAAACTCTGTATCCCCAGCAGTTCTCTCAAAAACCTTTTAAACAGCAGGCAAAATGAGTATAAAACATAATGGAATATGGATGAGGAAGGAAATATTGTAATGGGATTTCCCCCCAGAATAATCCCTAGATATTCATCATTCACAATACAAAGGGTATGAATATGGTATCATCGTTATAAACTATTTCTGCCCTGGTGGATTATGGTTTTCACCTGCTGACAAAAAAACATTATGAAAAAAGAACTCATTTTGTTCAATGATACATCCCAGACAAATGTACAGTTCTGCCTATAGAGTAATATCTTTGATTTACCTTCATTGTCCTTTAATGTAAAGTTGGGATTCAAAGAAAAATTGTTGTCTAGAGAAAAATGGAATCTCTGTCCATTTGCAAAGTCATCTCTGTCAGTGGCACTGATTGTCTGAATAACCTGGAAAGAAAATTGAATAGTGGAGGCGATTAACTTCAACCTGGATCTAAATTCTGCCACAATTCAGCATGATTTTATAAGCTCAGCTTTCTTTCATAATTTTCTACTGGAGTAATGGAGCAATCTGCATGTGAAACACCACTGGCTTATTTTTGTTTTTGTTTCTTTCTTTGCAAGTCAGTATATTTAAATGAGAGTGTGAAATTGTGAGCTGCCCCGAGGCTTTGTTGCGATGGGGGTGGCATAGAAATGTTTTAAATAAATAAATAAATGAATGAACTTAGAGCAGCATCAATACTCTTGTAGTAGATTGGCAAAGCCTTTGATGACCCAAACACATCCTAAAGATTCACAGAAATATTTACTGAAAGGGAAAAAATGTATAGGTTAAACAAATATTCTGCCCTAATATGGACTACAAGGTCCATTCCCCTAGGAACCCCTTCTGAAGCATTTGCTATTTTTGATACTCTCTTGACCTTAATTGAAACCCTTTGCATGAGTATGTATGTATGTATTTTGCTGCACACTACACCTCTGTTGTAGTCTATCCTGTTGTGCAGTATAAAAAGGAAGATTCAGATATATGCCGTTATGTACAATTTGTGGTGGGAAACTTATGTACCTACTGAAATGGGACAACACGCCCAGACAGGGGAATTAAAAGACGATTCAGCAATTTTGTCTGCAATGCAATCCAAAAGGCAGCACATGTGTGCAAGTCTGTGCAAGTGGACCTGCTCGCCACATCAGGCAAAGCACCTATGAAGCTCTGAAAAGAACGTAAGAAGAGCTGTAGGTAAGTTATTGCAAGAATGAGGATAGACTACACCAACAGTGCACAGTGCTGATCATTTGCTTAACACAGTGCTTAACACCAACAGTGCACAGTGCTGATCATTTTGGCACTGCAAGTGACTTGCACACATGTCTGGATTGGGGCCAATGTCGCTTACTCAGCACAATGACAATTGACAGTTCCCCTGCACTGACATTGCCAGGCAAAGCTGTTAAATTGGGAACAGAGGGGTTTATATTATTTCCCTAGCTATGATGCAGCTGTGAACTGCAGTCTAAGCAAATATACCACAGCTATGGAGTTCATTTTGTCCTACACAAATACAAAGATGAACATCAGCTAGCTCTGGGAAATAAAAAATAAGATCTGGGGGGGTGGAATTCTGCCACCCCCCCCCACACACACATCTGCAGATTGCTAGAATACAATTCTGGACACTCAAGGGAGTGCCTCTGTATATGCCATGAACCCTTACAACCAACCCCACAAAATGCAGGGGTAGCGTTATCTCTAGGAGCACTTTATCCCTTATTTCTTTAGTTACTAATTTCTTTATAATATTTCTTGGTTGACTTTCAGGACACAAGTCTTCCAAAGGCAATGTGAACCAATAAAATGCATAATCAAAACAGACATAGTTCTGAACCCTCCCACTAAAGCAGCAGCAGCAGCAAACTTTCTAGAAAATGGCAAAAAAATCTCACGAGAGGCAACTGTAGCTACAACCCCATCCAATAAAACTTTAGCAGGAGAAGGGCCAATTAAAATAGAAAGTTTCAGGGCATTCTCATATGCCTCCAGTGATAAGACCTGCTGGACTCCCAATGACAGCCTATCCCAGGCATGATCCTGCCTGGTGCCATGGCCCTCAGAACCTACATTGGTGCTTATGGGGGGGGAGGTGGCTTTTTTGGTGGTGGTGCTCTGCCAACCCTCGTCATGGGCTGTGGGGTGTCATTCAGGAGCTTCCCAATGACTTTCATACTATTCAAGTATCTAATTCAATGTTGATCCTGATTGCATTCCTGCCATTTTTTTCAGGTCTTAAATATTCTGGTTGCTCTGTTCTTATAGCACATTGTTTGTATTAGAAGCTGTCCTCATGGGCTGAAGGGTAGCATGTAATCTGTATGTCATCCTATGCAAGAGTTTGCCTGGTTGCATGTAGGTGTAATGTGCTTAGGAGGACATGGCACATATGTAAGCTTCAGCCTTGGCATACCCAGCCACTGGCAGCAAAAAATTAAGCAGGCTCTGTAAACACATTAAAGAATTCCCATGAATGCAAACCCTTCTGATTGCAGAAACTATGTAAGTGTTTGCAGTAAATAGCTGAAGACTTTCCTGACCAGCACATTGAGTTCCTGTCCGTACAGTTTGAAGACATTGGGAAATTAGTATTATTGTTTTAGGCCCTCCCTGCTGGTGGAGGGCAGCCCATGCACTGGGAATGGAGTGCACAGACCCTCTCACATGAGGTTAAATGGCTGTATTATGGCCAGAAAAGTGGTTGGTATGCTATCAACATGCCTTCATAGGGCAGGCACAATGTGTCTACTTTTGCCAGCTGGTAACATCACTTGAAGGTTCTACTGTTATCAAACTAAGAGCTAATCTAACCAATGAGAAGCTGGGTCCACTCACTAGAATAAAATTTTAAAAATGAAAGAAACACAACTTTTGGATTGAGATGCTTTAAATTATGACATAAAGAGCGTATTTAGCATGTTACCTGGCCTGGTTTTGCATTCTCACAAACAACTACATCATAATCTCCAGCAAGCTCTGGAGGGTTGTCATTGATGTCAAGAATTTTAACTCCAACAGGGACATGGCTCAGGAGGCCAGGGCTTTCTGTAAAACAAAGAAACAAGAAAAATGAAGTCTTCCCTCAGTTTCAGAAGACACTTACCCTTGTCCCTGAAACATAATCTGGCCCTGGAAGTAGATACTCTGAACAGGATTTAAAGCAATGTCTTCTTTGAAGTTCAAAACATCACTGCAGAAACTGAAGTCCAAAGACATTTTTGGAAATATGTAGCTTGCTAAGTTTTGCTAGGTTTTTAAATAAATAAAATTGAAGTCAAGACATGAATGTTAAACTAGAGACTTTGAACATCTAGTGTGGTACATATTGAAAGACAAGAATGGGAGAAGTTTGGAGACTCTACAGAATGCTGTCATGTTCTGACCAAAAATTAACCAAGTGACTTCATGTTATAGTGTCTCATCCATGTTGAATGAAAAGCAGAAAGGGATTACCTTTTGATTTCAAGGACCAGAATTAAAATATGAAAAAGGACAATTCTGTTTCAATGCCACTTTTTACTGTGGTTGTTTTTGATGTTGCAATGTACAGTATAACTAGGTCAGCTTGTTTAATTGTATAGAATCATGGAACTGTAGAATTGGAAGGGGGCAGAAGGCGATCCAGTCCAACCTGCTGCTCAGTGCTGTGCTCAGTGCAAGTTTAACTGTCCCTCTCAAATGGCTGCCAAGTTGCATCCTGTATGCCTGTAGTGGAGACGAGCTCACAACCTTCTTATTTATTTGTTTGTTTGTTTGTTTGTTTGAAATATTTCTAGCCCGTCCAATCACTCTGCATCTCTAGATGGCTTAGCTCATTGGTTCCATTGCTGTTGTTCCAGATGCTGTCTAGGGACCATGTGATAGATCTACAAAGCAATTCAGTTTGGCTGGTCTGTGCCCATAAGTAATTATTTCATGGAAAGTCAGACCCAGGGTTTTTGCTGATCTCCCAAAAAAGGAGAAGGTGATCAGAAGAAGATCCTGATCTTTGAATCCATAGGGCTTGCTTATGCCAAAAATGCAAGCTGAAGCTCTTCATGCAGATGATCATTGACCTGTCATTGCCTAACCCCCCGCTAAACCTTCTCAGTTTCTAATGCCATATGATTGGCAATGGGTAGAAGATTCCTGCATTCCCTGAAGAACAGAGGAACCCACAGGGAATTTTACGGGTTGTCTGTAAAAGTCCAATAATAATTGAATTCCTAAAAACCACAGGAATTCTCAAGTTGATTTGAAGCATGACCCTGAGCATGTTCACTCAGAAGTAAAGCCCACTGAGTCCAATGGGACTTACTTTTCATGCTACACGTTGAGAAACTTGTAGCTTTACAATATTCATTTTATGTCCATAGAATCCTAGAATAATAGAGTTGGAAGGGGCCAGAGGGCAAGCAGGTCCTATCCCTTGCTCAGTGCAAGACTCCAGGTTAAACCATCCCTCTCAGATGGCTCTCCAGTTGCCTCTTGAATGCCTCTAGTGTGGGGGAGCCCATGACCTTACCTAGCTCATTGGTTCCATTGTCATACTGCTCTCACAGGCAGGACATTTGTCCTGATATCTAGCTGGAATCTGGCTTCCTGTAATTTGAACCCATTATTCTGTGTCCTGCACTCTAGGATGATCAAGAAGAGATCATGACCTTCCGCTCTGTGACAGCTTACTTAGTGCTCTCATATCTCCCCTCAGTTTTCTCAAGGCTAAACATGCCCAGTTCTTCCAATATCTCCTCACAGGGCTCTGTTTTTAGTCCTTGGATCATCCTTGCTGCCCTCCTCTGAACCCTTTCCAGCTTGCCTGCATCTTTCTTCAGCTCAGGTGCCCAGTGCTGGACACAGGACTCCAGAAGAGACTGAACCAGTGCTGAGTAAAGGGGACATAGTGTTTTTGATTTGGAAGTGATACTTCTATTCATGCAGCCTAAAAAAGCACCTGCCCTTTTTGCAGCTGCATCGCTTTGTTGATTCATATATTCAGCTTGTGATCTAAAACAATTCCAAGGTCCTTCTCGCTTGCAGCACTGTTGAGCCAAGTAATCCTACCTTGCAACCATGCATTTGCTTTCTTTTTCCTAGGTGTAGAACTTGGCATTTGTCCCCATGAGCTTCACCCCAGCAATCCAGCCTATCAAGCTGACTGAGCCAAAGTAGACTTTGAGCATTCTGCCATTTCTCTGTCATCTGTTCTTATTTTGCCATCCACACTGAGTAGCTGGACCCCCATTGCTTTCCTCTGTCTTTTACTTTGGTCATATCTGAAGAAGGCCTTTTTGTTGCTTTTAGTATCCCTTAATAGCCTCAGTTCCTTCCTAGCTACTGATAGGTTCAAAATTGGGAAAGGAGTATGGCAAGGCTGCATAGTGTCTCCCTGGCTTTTAACTCATATGCAGAGCACATCATGAGAAAGGCGGGGCTGGATGAATCACCAGTTGGAATTAAGATTGCCAGGAGAAATATCAACAACCTCAGATATGCAGATGATACCACTCTAATGGCAGAAAGTGAAGGGGAACTAAAGAACCTCTTGATGTGAGTGAAAGAGGAGAGCGCAAAAGTTTATTTATTTTACTTAATTTATTTAAAACTTTTATATGCTGTCCTCTATTCGTGGCATCTCAGGACGACTTACAAATGTTAAAATAAAAATTAATAAAGAATTAATACAAATGTAAAACAATATACAGCCAATAAAAATAAATTAAATCAAGAGCAACTGATTAAAACTATTAAAATACTATTTTTAATATAATGCTTAAATAAAAAGGTTTTAAATAAAAAGTTGGCTTGAAACTCAACATTAAGAAAATTAAGATCATGCCAGCTGGTCCTATCACTTCCTAGGGAAGAAATGGAGGTAGTGACAGATTTTATTTTCCTGAGCTCCAAGATCACTGTAGATGGTGATTGCAGCCAAGACACTTGCTCCTTGGGAGGAAAGCTATGGTAAATATAGACAACATTGTAAAAAGCAGAGACAACATCTTGCCCACAAACGTGCTTATAGTCAAAGCGATGGTTTCCCCAGTTGCACTGTATGGCTGTGAAAGTTGGAGCATAAGGAAGGCTGAATGATGAAGAATTGAGGCCTTTGAATTGTGGTGCTGGAGAAAACTCCTGCGAGTCCCTTGGATTGCAAGGAGATCAAACTAGTCAGTCCTAGAGGAGATCAACCCTGACTGCTCTTTAGAAGGCCAGATACTGAAGATGAAACTCAAATACTTTGGCCACCTGAGAAGGAAGGACTCCCTGGAGAAGAGCCTAATGCTGGGAACAATTGATGACAAAAGAAAAAGGGGACAGCAGAGGATGAGGTGGCTAGATGGAGTCACTGAGGTGGTTGGTGTGAGCTTGAGTGGACTCTGGGGGATGGTGGAGGACAGGGGGGCCTGGAGGAATGTTGTCCATGGGGTCATGATGGGTCGGATGCAACTTCCTGACCAGCATAGCATAGCACAGTACTGAGTTTATTAAAATTGGCTTTTTTGAAATCCATGCTACATCTCTGGCTACATTTGATTTTTGATTCCTTTAGAAAGGAAGGTTGGACAATGAAAAAGTTAGACAAGAGAAAATTGACTCATTCGAACTGTGGTGTTGGCGGAGGCTCCTGAGCATTCCATGGACTGCAGGAGTCATGAACAAGCAGGTGCTGGCGCATAATAACCCAGTTACATCTCTGATCAGCAAGATAACAAAACTGAGGCTCACATATTTTGACTACGTTACGCGATCAAGCTTGTTAGAAAAAAGATATAATGCTTGGAATGCTCAGTGGCAAGAGAAAACCAGGTTGCCAGATAACAAGCTGGTTAGACTCCATCAAAGAGGATGTGAGCCAGAGCATAGTTTAGCTTAAAGAAGTGGCATGGGATCAGAAAGTGTGGCGAGATTTGGCCCACAGGATCACTTATAGTTAGACACAACTAAACAGCTGAATAACAAGAATCAAGCCTTCAGGCATGGCCACTTTCCCTTAGAGTTCCTGTATCTGCCACTTTGTCCACTAGATCACCCCTGTTGATAGGATATCCATGGATATCCATGTTGGGGATTACAAGAGTGGAGCCAGCTAGAGCTGAGGGTCAGACCTGATGGCCCAGGAGGCTCCTTCTGACTTGCTTTTTTTCTATGCTTCTACATTCTATGTTTCATTGCTCTTTTTCCTTCCTCCAATTTCTCCTGGAGTAGACAACTGTGATGGGTAAGTAAAAATCTGGCACAGATTACAACAAACTACAAATCAGGTAACACATAGCTTCTTGAAAGCTTCCCTTCATGGTAGAATATCCCTCCTCTTAGAAAATATGCACAGCAGAAAATGGGCTGGACTACAACCTTTCTTCCGATTAAAAAGAGAAAAAAGAAGGGGCAGGGGTTCTTGGAAAGCAGCAGGACTTGAAAGATGCTGCCCTTGAAATACTCCACAGACATAAAATCCCAAGTAAATTAGCCACCAGGACCAACAAAACAGTTACATTAGCATTGTCATTGCACGGGCAATCATCCAGCACTCTCTGCCAAATACAAGGCAGGTTAGGTGATTAACACGCTGGAACAATTGAGTGTGCAAATAAATTTTACATTATCTTTTCCATTTGCAACCTGGTAATGAAGGTTGAACAATGAAAGGTTGAACTCATTTGCTTTAATTATCTGATATCAGACATTAGAATCACCTGAAAATTTGCTGTTTCAGGAATACTAGGATGAAAACAAAATAAACTTAAAATGTACTCTATTCCTGGATTTGTTTGTTTGTTTTTAAATCTCCTTAAATAATGTGTTCCAGGGGAAAAAGAAACACTTTGCTTCTTTATATCATTTTTAATGACCAGGGATGTATTGGTCATTAATGACATTATGATGGCAGGGTAGAGATGCTAAAATGTCATGTTTTCACACTGATGGGTAATGAGAGAGGCCCAAGTTCACAATGGAAAGATCCCTGTTGCAGCTTCTGAAGATGGCCAGCAGCCATGCAGTGAGGGGCAGTGTGGGCTTTTCCCCCACTGCATGTCACTCCAACACCCTCGGAAGGAACCACA